GGAAAACACTCGAAAATGACGATTTCCGCTGAAAAACCTCATCAGCGATCTAAGGTTTACCTATTATTATTAAAATAAACCTAAATGGTTTCGGGATGAAATTATAATCAGCTCTAATTTTTTGCGAAGTTTGTAAATACAATAGTCTAGTACGAATTAAAAAAAGGTGTACCTAAAATGAGAACATATTTTTTCATAAGAAGTGTTTTTTAAAATGTCGTCCCTTTCCAGGAGTTTTTGACTAAAGGAAGTACTGTATGAAAAGAAAAATTAAGCTAATTGGAGTTTGGACATTTGCTATAAGACACAAATACACAATAAGTTCATTACCATCATCATGAAAGAGAAAATAAATGGTAAAAGAACTAGAGGAAGACCGCGTAAATCCTTCTTTGAAGAAATCTTCCTTTGTTTGGTTTTTACTTCTTACCAACAGACAACAACTTAAGAGGACGGCATGTGACAAACATGAATGGCTACAACTACAAGGCTTGGCATTTAGATGCTGATGATGTAATAGAAGAGCTAATTACAATATGATTTTTATTTGTGAATATAATATATTTTATAAATGGGCGATACCAAAAATATTGATATTGATATTCGATACTTTATTCATTTTGATACTTCATAAATCGTATTGTTATATCAAGTCTGAAGTCAACAACACTTGAAACGTTATAATAATGTCATAAAACATCGAAATCGACAAAAAAAAAAAAAGAATATCAAACACAATTCCGATATTCGATAGTCGATACTATATAGATAGTATACCAGGACTAAGTATATTCGAGAATCGAGGAAATACCATCGCTCACTATCTCTAATAATAATAGTAATAATAGTATAGATTAGTAGCATACTGCAAAGTCGTAGACGTTCCAGTGATTAATGATCCGGTCTTCCGGCGTTCGGTTTCTTACCTGGAGAAACTGGTTAAGCCAGCCTCGGTGTTTTTATTTCCTTTTTATTATTTTTTTCGTTTTCATTTTTTTATTACCAAATCGAACTCGCACCCATCACGGCGGAGCGAACGACGGTCGTCAAAATACTGGCGGTATATGGTATGAAGCTGAGAGAGAGAAACAGATAAGGGAGACCTAGGAATATACCATGGTTGAAATATACAAGGCTATTGCATATATACCCCTTCTCAATCAAATATTTGATGATAAAAACAAAAATGGCAGCTTAAAGGGAGCCAATAATAATCAAGTATGTAAGCGCGGGCTTTTGAATTTGTTAGCTTTTTTTGCCGTATTTTTGATGATAAGAAAAATTGATATTTGTGATATCCCTTTAAGCAGCCATTTTGTTTCTTATGATAACAATCCGAGTCGATATGCAATAACCTGTATACCTATTTCAACCAAGGTATATACTCTCCGATGATATCACAGATGATAATATCGCCTGGCCGACGGGGGTATACTTACCACCATGTATATAATTGTATAATATCACTACGCGGCCGTATACCACTTAACGTATACCTGGTACACGAGGGGGAAAGACGGTGATTATTATTTGAGTTTTTCATGGATGACGTGTGAGCGCTGACGCCATACGGGGTTCCCAACGACAAACGATAAGACTTGGTAAAACAGATAGGGTTTTCAGAAAATTGTTTTCCTCTTTCATTTTTAAACCGAAACGCGAGTCAATCGCTCTTGAACCATGCTGTAGATTTCACGACCACGATATTATAATTTATAGAAACGATTTTAAGGACTGTTTTAAATTGCCGATTGCCATATATAATATAATATTAGTTAGGAATGTAGATTATTTAAGGTGAAACTTAAGTCCTAATAGATTCCGGTACGAAATATAAGAACAAAAACTAATGATTAATAATGTGGTAAGTATATTCGAAGCGAGAGATGAGATTTGATTTTCGGGAGACCAGGTCGATTGTTTTATCTTTTTACTATGCATGAAAGCGAGAAAGAAAAAAACCATTTTAACATTTCAGAAGTTAATGTTGAAAATATCTGTCTCTTGCCTATTTCATGTGTCTTGTGACTATATGTGCCTATGCGTAAATCCGCCTATTAATTCAAACCAGTTTTTGTCTATTATTATTATTATAGTTAATTATAATTATAATAGTTAGTAGCTTCCAAAGTTTAGCTTATACAGCATACCAACATTTTGATAAAGTATGTGTAGAGCTGGTTGAATAGCCTGTGCCTTATTGATAAAGTTGGTTTCTAGTGAAATAAACGGACAAAATCTTAAGAAAATGATTAAGAAAAGGAAAATTAACAATGATGCGCTATAATACACGTTTCATTATTACTCATTATTAGTGGTCACCAAATCACGACCAAACTATACTGGAGTATATTATTAGTATTATACATAAAATAAATATATTTTAATAATGTCGTAAATTAATTTTTAATGCAAAAAGTACTTAAATTAGTTCTATAAAATAACATTTATTAATAATGTAAAACATTACTAATCAAAGTACTACAATTCAAACTAGATTTAAACATATTATAGTAGATAGGTATAGCCATATAGGATTTGAATAACATAATATTATTATATTAACATGTGTCTGAAAGGTACCTGATTAAGTATGAAATAAATCTTACGATGGCCACCATAACATGTATAATATAGTATAAATGTATTATTCACAGTATACGAGTATAAAATATACCTAATTGTTTTGAAAATATTATTCACAGTTCTCTTTCATATTGCTGTATACTTATATAGTGTTGTGTTTGTTTATCATTTACATCATTTTAATTTACATGATTTATTATTCTCGATCTCATTCTCATATGCATGGACTTTTGAAATAACATTTTCATATAATTTATGGTTATTAATTTACTATTCTACTCGGTATCCTACAAATATGTAACATTGTTCGTCGAGTATTCTTCTCTAAAGTTCCGTTCGTTATAATATAATAGTTTTAAATGCGTATAATAAAATAGTTTTAATTGTAACTTCAATTTTTTTTTTAAATTTTAATAGTGTTTCGACTCTGTTGTCATTGACATAAGTAACATTCATAAATTCTGCTCCGTATAAAAAGAAAACAACCAGAAAGAAAACAGATTATTCGCTGCAGGGTCTGTAGTTGGGAGAGGATAACATATGATTATATTACCTATAATTTCAATATTTCTTTTATGTTTGTAGTTTTAAATGATTATGATGATTATAAAATATGTACATATTAATGGGCATAATATAGTATTCAAACTATTATTTTGTATTTCTGTTCGTAGCAGATGATGTGAGATAGGTACACAATTCGTTTTTAGTACTTCTACTACTAGTGTTTTATTGTTATTTTAATTATCGAAGCAACAATAGTGTGCCTACAACGGATCAGTGGGTGGTTTTATTTACATATTGATGAAGCGTATATAGTTGCGATGTACATACTTCGCAGTATATATAGCCGGGTCGAACTGGTCGGCAGGATATCTTACACTCATATATAGGTATAGCGGCGCAACCGGACTGCAGCGTGTTACGGTTGCTGCTGTACCACAATTCATAACTCGCGTGGCTCAATAAAAAATAATTTAGTTAATAATAAATTAAACATGTATAGCTATAAACGTCGTATGCTCTCGTAATGAATGTAATTTTAATTTGATCATGATCTAATCGCGCGAAACACTATAGGTAGTTCAAAACATCAGACGCGCTGTACATAATACGCACGTTGCGGCAGACACCTCCATAGCTTGTATAATATATAATAACTAGTTTATGATTGATATACGATGAGAACATATAATATACTGTCGGAGCGGACGTGGGATTGAGGAAAAAAAAATCAATGCCGAGCGGTAACACTAATGACGACACTAGAATCGGATGTGAAAAAAAAAAATTTAAAAAAAAACCTGTGCCGAAAGGGCTTGGTAGACCAAGCTGTATACCTATAACATTATAGGCATTAGGCAGTTTGTATATATGCAAGCATAAGTCGACGGTTAGCGTTATTTATCGAGTAGGCGGCGTTTCCTTAATAAAACGAGCTATATTATATCGGTCCGAGCTGCATGCGTGTGCATGACGTACTCATATAATATAATATATACAGACAACAAATATTAATGCCACCTATAGATGAATATTATATAGTCAACGGATCGTTTTTCGTTTTTGGACATAATAAAAGCGACCGGCTGAGCAACGACGCAACATATATTACGATATTATGTATAGGTAGGTATATATATTATAATATACATTTAGTCCTTATAAGGTAAACGACGTTTTTTTGTTAGAATTCATTTTGGTTTTTTTTTGGAATCGTTAAAGTATATTGAACGTATTTCTATTCGTTTAAGTATGCAATATTCATGTTATATAATATACTCAATAATATAACCAGTCCCTATATATGAAGTGATCTTCGGTAAACGGTAAAAAAGCACGAGTATAGAATTCTGGTCGAGGAAACAATGGCCAGCTCAAAATATCTGAAAGTAAGAATAAAAAAAAACCGGCCAAGTGCGAGTCCGACTCTCGTATGAAGGGTTCCGTACCATCATCAGCTATGTTGGCAACACTGCTTAGGTTATATATTCTAGGATTTTTAGTATTGAAGAGAAGTAATACTAACGCGGTTCCTCCTCCGTCATTTCTAAAAAAAAGATGTTTAGTATTTGTTGTTATAGCATCCATGGAAATACATAATCTGTGAAAATTTCAACTTTCTAACTTTCATGGTTCATGAGATATAGCCTGGTGACAGACGGACAGCGGAGCCTTAGTAATAGGCAATAGCCAATAGGCTTCAGTTTTACCTTACGGAACCCTAAAAAATACCCAGACCGTTCAAGAGATGCCCGAATACAATTAAAACACGATTGGCATGCGACTACTTTATGAAATTTATAAAATTAACTAAATATAAATGACAAAAATAAAAAAATAAAAATAATAACAACAGCATCTGATTGTTTGAACTGTTCATTATTTATTTCCGGATATTTTTACTTAAATTCTCAATCTTTCGGCGCGTTAGCATATACAATCGTGTTTACCAATATTGTGCCTCCAATGCGTACACCTTTAGCGTCGGAAATACGCATCAGCGAACTATAATAAGTGTCGACGGGACCTCGTTGAAACTTGAAGGACGACGATGGTTCGTCTCGGGTGTCAGCACTAAATATGAACCGAACGCTGTAATCTGCACGATTACAAAAATATATCATGATATCGAGTAAATCATAATTTTTTATTATTTTTTTTTGTCAGTCAGAAATACAACTGTAGGTACCCGTTTTGTTGTTTTTTTTATCTATCTATAATTCAAGTCCCTCGTGAAATCGGTAATGTGCTGCATAATCTGTTACCGCGAAATGGTCCATTATACTATTGTGCCGTAAACGCGAACATAAATATTTATCGAAATAAGACTGTCTTTTATAATATTCGTGACGTGTGTGAATATGATAATTCGGAAGAGTAAAGGCGCACGCGCTCGTACTGACGTAATGGCGACATGCACTATGACGTGTATAATCGCAATCAAGTACCTACATAATATATTATATAGGTACGACTGTCCTCTGTCCATCATCACGGTCTATATTACTATATTTCTCAGCGTGTGTGCAAAATTAATTAGCAGACCAGCGCGTCCGGCGACGAACAAAACGCGAATAGGGCTATATATATTATGAGCATATGACACACCGGTGCAGATCCTGACTTATATAGGTACGGCTATATACCTATATGTACCTATTACGTATTCAGACGTGCGACGAGTGGAGTTTCCGCCCGCCGCCGTAACGGTGCTAATTGAACGAGGAAAAACAACACGGTATCTAGGTATAATTGTATAAATGTATAATGTAAAAATATATATATACATAAACAGAATACACTATACCTATAGCTTATAGTGTTTATACGTATATTATACACTATATAGCATGGTATAATATATAATGCAACGCCTAAACATTATACGGAAAACTACGGAACCGAATCTATCGCGGCTGACCATTACGCGAACCGTTATAAATTATATTATATATAGGTAACCATTTGTAGCTACTATACCGGGAGTGGTTAAAAACAAAAAAAAAGTGTAAAACCCCTCATGCGCTGCACCAAAACGGTTTTTGTCGCGCATATTTTTGGGGTGTTTGGTCAGTGGTCGACGTGCTGCACCAAAGCGGAAGAACAAACACGGCCGTGGGAGATAAATTGAAAATATAAAAAAGCCACGCGGATTCGAAGAGGCGGAATGATTTGCGGTTTTCGTCCGTATATATACGAATATTATATTGTACATAGAGGTATATATTGTATATACGACCGCGTCGCCGCAGCCTGCACAGCTCACACGTAGTCGGTCGTCGATGGATACTTCGCGGCCTTACCTAACTTGGAATGCGTTTATTCATCACGCATGATAGCCGAAATCCATTCGTTATATTATGTTCACATATTATAGGTAGGTACACTGCAGGCGTGTATACTGTAGATATATAGGTATACGTCAAACTCGTGTTTATATTCATAATAAAAATAATAATGCAAGTACAACGCATGTTAATAGTGTTTTGAGTATGTTTATTATATTATACTAATACAGAATATGCACACTACATAACACACACACACACACATATATTATAGGTATCTATATATAATAATAAATTACATAATATATATCTAATGAACCTTACGCGCTCGCATTTTTCAACCATTGATTATCGTCGGACATTCGAAATCCGAAAATAAAATAATATTTAATCATCGAATGTCTGGTAACGCAACTGAACGTTTATTCAAATCGACGAGTTTAATTTTTTACACCGTCCCGCTCTAAGGGTCTGTATTATAAAAGTCGATCTCAGGTTGAACCGCGGAATTCAGCCGATAAAATCAATGGGTTATGGACTCTATTAAATAATTTTCCAATAATATTTCGCTGGAATTTGTCGAGTATAATAAACAGTCAACAGATTGGCGTCAAGTAAGAATCAGTTGCAGTATTTTAGAAAAATTTCTAGTCAGGTACACAAAAAAAAATTCGGGGGTCATAGATGATTGATATAAATACATTACACAACTATTGATTTTTTTTTGGGGGTAGGGGGGTTGGTTTAAACACCCAAACCCTCCCCCTTACACGTGACTGCTACTTTCTTATATATTTCTTGTTATTTTTTTTTATACATATACCATACAATTGTAAACCACTTGAGTATTTAAATTTTGAATACTATTATAAAGTTTAGAATAATCTTTAACTGATTTTGTATTTTAAATTCAAATACTTATAAAGTATTTAAATACTTTATCGTTTTTATGTTAGTTTTGAATACTTTATTATTTCTACTCATAAATAAAACCATTGAAATCTTGTAATTTTATATTTTCCTCTTAAAATAAACTCGAAACGCCATCATTGATTATTTTCGTCGAAATTAAGCCTACATACATTTTTTCTTGAATTTACAACTAAAAATATTGCTATTAATGTCTATCGCATACGAGTTTTGTACTTAGTGCATACGCTACAAGTGGGAATATTGTATAGATTCTAAGGAAGGAGTATTAAAAAAAGATATCATACATATAATATTCTACGAATTTATAAAAATATAAGTATATTTTACGACTTTTTCCGAACATATATTTTATACCTATCTAATCATACCTATTAGGTGTATATGATATAAATAAAGTTTAAATGAGTCACTACTCACTATAACAATGATTGAGTTTAAAGAAAAAATTATAGGTATTGATAATAAAGTAAAAAAAAATATTTGAAAATTATTTGTATTTCAATTTTAAATACTTTTAAAGTTGATGTATTTGTATCTATATTTAAGTATAAATTAAAAGTATTTGCGCATAAATATTGTGAAAGGACTGCAAATGAACGTCCACATCAATCGAATATAGTCATCTTATACTGTCATCCTTGATCCTTATATACCTTATATAATATTATAACAGTCGTATGATTAGTGATTACTGCTTGAAATATGAAGGAATTATAAATTTTCCGCTAATATACGTAGGTATATTATACAGCAGCAGGTGGTATACTGCTGTGGTTGAGAATTAAATCATTATTATTGTAGCCATTAGGTATGCCTATATGTATTCATTATATTATTATTACACTGGTGGTATAGGTGTTATGAATTAATTTTTTTATACATATTATTATTATATATTAAGAATTCAGATTCACTGTGACGAATTGCTCTAACCACCGTCATTCCATAAAAATAAAACAAATTTTTGTTCTGTTACAATATAATATTATATTGTCCATTTTTTATAACACATACTAACTATACGGTTATACAGGGTGGCCCGGTGATGTCTTCCTGTCTTACTATACAGTGTTATTATTATATATAGCCATACGGGAAAACGATACAGCGATGAAGAAAAGTAAAAATATTTACTATATTTATATGTAAAGAGTAATGTTATCCATTTAAGGACGACCAGCTGTAACTCAGTCAGTAGGAATTGACCTTTATATATTGTTATTACGTCTTTTGTCTTTATATTTATTGGTTCCTACTTCCTACTTCCTATATGTAGATGGCTAATTGGTTATTACTTATCAGTTATTAATATACAAATAATTATTGTTCCCATAAAAAAAAAAATAACAACACAATTGATAAATATTTTAATACTGTCACTAATAAATATTAATTTAATCTAAAAAATATTCAAAATATTGTATTGTAAAATTAGTGTCATAAGGGGCTGCCAGGACACTCTGATGAGTGGTGGTATTGCTTAAGCCTATTATTTGATATATCAAATAATATCCGTCGAAATACGACATTATGATCATTAAAGATTAAGTATAGGTAAATCAGCCCGAACTGACGTCGTCGGTATAAAGGCATGTTAGAGTTAGTTAGGTTAGTTATAATCACTCGGAAAAACACTCTGAAGCCAACCACCATAAGAGGCGTAATCGCCATCGGGGAATTTGTATAATATATATACTTTAATACTTGTAGAAGTTTCGTCGGTTAAAACAGAAAAAGAGTAAATGGTGGTAATACGAATAATATAGTATACACTATTATAATTTATGGTTCCACATGAAAAGCCATAATTAAATATATATATCTAATATCTAAGGATGTTGTTTTTCTTAATTATTTATTTACTTATTCCTATTTCGATATAAAATAATAATATAGTTTAGATTCTTCATTTCAGAGCTTCAGACGCATCAATAATTTCGAACATTGTAAATCTTACGTTACCTATGTTATTTTACGGATATTGGCACATATTATACATTTGGGTAATATGCACTCATAATATAATATATCGTTTATAATATTCAATATAGGTATATAATATTATTCATACATATATTATACAAGTACCTATGGAAGTATATGGTATTAATATATATAATATTATATAGTACACACATAACATATATTATTATATTATATACGTGTGGAAAAATAAGTATGCTATTCCTTCATTAAGATGTAGGACGATTGTTCTCCGCGATAAAACTCCGTATACGGACAATTGACCCCGGTAATAATTTTATGCATAGACAATAATATTGGTCCACGACCAATTTATTAATTTTTCCGTGATATTCTCAGTCACCCAGAGCAATAAAATACATAGGTAATATTTATCAAGGAAAGTATTGATCGAGATAATAAGATATGAAGTGTTGTGTGAAGTGTAGGTACCGCTGAAGAATGTAGTTCATGGTATATAACGCAAAAACAGTTAATAGGTAGGTGTAATTTATAGTATAGTTATAAATTATTTTATAACTGATCAAAATTCGTATACTATATTCTTATCTTATATTGAAAAATGTGGCTCAACCGCTAATACACCGTGTTTGGTATTACTCTGAGTATTGGTGACATTACAATATTATACTTCACCTCGATTGTGGAAATCTAAATATTGGTCGCGCTAAAACAGAGCTGGAAACGGCGTAGATATTATGCTTGTCGAATTGTTTTCTGCGTGTATACCTACCCACCATATTGAGAAAGCACGGAAGAATTTAAATGAAAATTCGCCATGGCCTTCGTACGCTATAATATACACATTAATATTGCAGGGTATATTATATCGATGCTGTTGTCTTAATAGTATTCAGTTTTTTACCGATATAAAAATAATATGTACTTTTCTGCAGTTATCACCGTTTGTAGGACGTGCA